AGTACATGCATGTTTTTGGTTAAATTGTCCAAGTTTTTTACTTGGTCAATATTCTTGCCTTGCCAATGAATTTTAAATATTTCACGAATTAATTGCACTAATTTTTTTACTGCACCACACTTTTGAAGCTCTCTTTGATTGGTTCCTCCAATAAACCTATTAAGAACATCTATTGTTATCTTTTCATTAATATAATTGTTAATATTTTTTTTTGTTAACGATGCTGCACTTTGTTTAAAATTAAATAATACAAATATCAGACATAATATCAATTATAATATATATGTATATATTTAATATATATATACCTTTCTTGTATTTCTTTATAATGTTTAACATGACCCAATACTGATTGATTAAGTCTGTGCCAAAAATTACTTAATGTATTTTTTGTTTTAGTTCGAATCTCTGTTCTTTCTTTAGAATAGAGTAGATACCCAAATATTTTCTTAACAAATTCATCGATACATGTTGCCGGTGGAAATCTTGCTCTAAAAAAGAGATATTTTATTTCTTCATCCCATATATATGCATTATCCTAAAAAAAATTATTTTTATTATTTATTTTTATTATTTATATTCTTTTTTTTAAAAAAGAAAATAAAATATATTATAAATCTTACTCTATTATATTTATTTTTGATGAAATTGCAGATGAAGGCATTGACGATTCATTAAAAGTTTCAATATTTTTCATTGATAATGAGGATGCCGTATACATTTGGTTGGCTAACTGCAATATAGATGGATGTTTTACCAGCCAATTGCATATTTCTAAAATATTATTCATCCTATCAAATTCTGCTGGAATTTGACTAGCTTTATGTTTTCATAGTTTTTCTTTAGATTTTTCTTTTATAAATATTAACGAATTAAAATTTAATAAAATTAAATTATATATTAAAAATTAAATAACAAATCTAAGCTTAATAGACAAATACCTGATATACCTGATTGAACCTCTCTATCATACTCATTATTTGAAATCGCTGTTGATGAGTTGGCTTATTTTAATATATAGTATAACAATAACAAATTAAAAATTAATAATAATATAATGATAATTTTTAAATAATTATA